CCAAAAAAAAAAATATGTATATATATATATATATATATATATACACACACACACATATTTCTGATAAAAAAAAAAAACTGAGAGAATTTGTCTCTAGCTGTTCTGCACTACAAGAAATAATAAAGGAAATTCTCCAGCCTGAAGGGAAGTGACAACAGATAAAATTCATATCTACAAGAAAAAATGAAGAGCACATGTAATTGTGTACGTCGGTAAATATAAAAACTATCTTTTTTGTTCTCTTAATATCTGTAAAAGACAACTTACTGCTTTAGCAAAACACAATATTTTATTATATAGTTTATAACTTGTGTGCACATAAGACATGACAGCAATGGCACTGTGGGAGATCAAAATTGGCCACCTCAAAATATGTCTTCTTGGGCCGGCCCCGTGGCTTAGCGGTTAAGTGCTCGCACTCCGATGCTGGCGGCCCCGGTTCGGATCCTGGGCGTGCACCGACGCACTGCTTCTCTGGCCATGCTGGGGCCGCGTCCCACATACAGCAACTAGAAGGATGTGCAACTGTGACAGACAACTATCTACTGGGGCTTTGGGGGAAAAATAAATAAATAAATTAAATTAAAAAAAAAAAAAGTCTTCTTTACCTTGATTATTTTCTATGATGGACATTTGACCTCCCCCACTAACTGCCTAAATGAATTTAACTCTGCGTATGGATAGACTGGGAGGGTTCTTGCTAAACCCATACTTATCAAACTTCTGTTTACCAAACATTTACCTTTGTAAGGGAAATCTCCATTTGTAAAGGTATCTCCCTCTCTGTTCTGGGAAGAGGGGGGATGACCTTATCTCTAGAAACTCTTATCAGTGCTGAAGGTGAGGACTTAAATCTGCATACTCTTGATTGCTGTGCTTTCTGATGGTCTCTCATGGCTGACTCCCCCAGCCCCAACATCCTCCTTTGTCTTTACCTAAATCTATTTAAGAAGAGAACCTCCGCCATTTGTTGAGAAACTCAGTTTCCCCGGTTTATCTCATGTATACTTACTATAAAGTTTTATTTGATTTTCTCCTGCCATTCGGTCTTACACTGATACTGAGCAATGAACTCGCTCTGGTCGTGGAGATCTGAACCAATTAATCACAACGAGTTAGAGATGGAGAAACGAAGTTTAATTAGATTAGCTGGCAAATTGGAAGACAGGTGACTGTCTCAAAAACCCATCCTCAAAGATTACAGAATCTTGCTGTACTTATACAGGCAAAAAGGGCAGTGAGGAGGGTGTCCAGGGATGTGGGTCTCCAAGCATCACAGGCCCCAGGTATCACATTGTTCCATTCTTCTGTCAGCTGTGATGGATACCTTGTAGGTGTGTTTACCACCTGTGGTCAGCCTGTTCCTGGAGAGAAACTCATAGAAAAAAGTTTTTAATTTATCAAGCTATTGGGGAGTACATACATAAGTAGAGGCCATAAATCAGGACAGCATGTGAACTTTTTGGAGTATGTGCAGCTCAGCGAGTAGTCACACAGAGGAGGGGCTGGGGCCATTTTGTGTAACAAGATGGCTGCACTTATGCTCACTTACACTCTCAATTTAATTTGTAGCCCAGCCAGAAAGGACCCAGAGTGGGTAGAGGATAGTCTTCCTCCCCTTCAGCACATAGGACTGAGCAACCAAAAACTGCTATTGTAAATTTCTTAATTATACATGAAGAGGTACCATATTAACTCTAAGCAGACTCTGGTAATGTAAGAACAAGCAGTAAAAAGAAAATAACACAAAGAGATGTAGATAAGGAGTAAGAGAGCAACTAAAATAAGATTAATACAAAAGATAGTGAATTTGTCACCCCCTGAAGTATTCAAGTTGAACCGTCATGAGATCAAGAATTTCAGAAAGACATGGGTTTGAATCATCCTTCTTCTCCTCAAACTTGTGATTTGGGGCATATGACATATTTTCAATTATTTGTTTATTCACTCAAAGCAATATGTTTCACAAGACATGTTATGCTCTTAAGTTTTTGGCATCTTACCTGTGGCCATCACGGATGTCTGTCTTCATAAGCTCAATTTCTTGATCACTCTCATGAATTTAAAACAAAGCTAATAAACAGTTTCTATTTCGCTGTAGGTGGCACCAGCTTACTTCATGCTTTCAATATAACACTCTTTCTGTATTTGGGCAAAGTCCTGTGCAATTATGACTGAGAAATACAATATGAGCTTTTAAAATCTATTCTCACACGCATAACTAACAAACAGCATGCATACATAGGAAAACGGAAAATTCCAGAACTCCACTCCCATATGTCTTCCCCTATCCAAACTTCTCCCATTGTGGAGCCCTGCCAAGTACTCTTCAGAGCTTAATCTAATTTACTTCTGTCCAGTAATCTTGATTCTTTACAAGGTCAGGAACATTGAGATTCTCCCAGTTCAGGTCAGTGAATCGTGCTCCTCTCCACAGACCACCACGACGAGAACCTCATTAGTTTGAAAAAAGCATTTGTGCCTAACAATGCTAATTAACGAATGGCTTTTTCTCCCAATGGCAGAAAACACAGGCAACCCTGCTCCCCTGCCCCTCTTTCCTGGCGTCCCTCCCACATCAACTTGGTCTCCTCCAATCCCGTGAAAAAGAAAACAAAAAAAGCCTGGGCCCCGCGCCTGAGAGTTTCCAGCCAGCATTCCACGGCCAAGGCCAACTCTCCCAGCCAAGGGTCTGCGGGAGGGAGCAGATGCAAACTAACGGGGCTCTTGCGACAGAGTGGCTTCTCCTGTTCCCTTCCCTGCTCAGCCACCTCTCAGCAAAGCCCTTCCTCGGGGGCTCTAGAACCTGCCTCTCTGATTAGAGGCCGCCGTCGACCTGCCCTTACCTTTGCCTGCCCCTCACTAGAGAGCTGTGACACCTGGTTTTTCTCCATTTCCCACGCGCCCTCGTGTCTTTGGAAGCCGACTCCAGCAGCGGCCCTCCCGGGACCCCCGGCCTGGGCGGCGGCGGCGGCGGGCCGAGCGCGGGGGGCGGTCCCCGAGGCTGGGGGAGGGTCCGGGGGCCGGGCCACGCCCCCCGCCGCGCGCCGCCCCCGCCGCCCCGGGTTCCCGTTTGTTTTTAATTCGAAAAATCCTCCTCTTCCTTTCCCCGCCCCCTCCTCGCGCTCTCTGCTCGGCGGGTGCAAGTCGACCCCGGGCCTGGCGTCGCGGGCCGGGCGGAGGGCGGGGTCCGAGCGGCGTCCGAGGAGGGGCCCGAGGCCGGCGTCCTGGGCTCGCAGCCCCGCCCGCGCGCCGCATCCTCAGGTGGTTGCCGCAGTTTCGGGGCGCCCAGCGCGGCGCGCGCCTGGGGGGGCCCGCGGGTCCGCAGCGAGCTGTCTGCAGCCCGGGGGCGGGGCGGGGCCCCTGCACCTTCACGTGGGCGCGGTGCCCGGGATGCAGGCTGTGTGCGGGGGCACCTCCCGAGGGAGCCGCGCCTGGGAGAACCGGCCGCCCCCGGCCCCCCGGCCCCCCGTCCTGGCGTCTCCGCGGGAGGAAGGCGCTGTGAGGGCCGCCCTCGGCCCCGCGCCCTCTGCCCCGCAGCCCGGGCCCCCGTGACCCGCTGCTCTGGGTCTCCCGCAGGCCTCACCGCGCGCAGCCCCCGGACTCCGGCCAGGCCGACTCGCAGGTAAGAGGTTTCCCAGAACTTCTTTTCTGCGTGGCGGGCGGAGGGGCGGGGATGGCACGGCGGCTCCCGCGTCGCGCTTGAGCAGTTCTGGCGAACTGGAGAGAGAGAATTTATTTCGGGGTGTACTGGCTTTGTTTTTATAAAATAAAACGTGTATATTTCAAGACTTAGAATTTTCTTTCATTTATCTTCTGATCTTGTTTATCTTCTCTTAGGATCTGCAATTTGAGTTTGTAGTTTTACGTTGCGTATTTGAAATGTAGTCACCAAAACTAATACAGTTGAAGATATAGTTATGCACTAAGGTTGATTTCCCACCTACTTAAAAGGGTATAGATTCAGTATTTTAAATTGCGTGTCACTATATTAGGAATAGAAAGATAACCTCCATTTATCTCTCTATCATGGTTAATCTTGAAACACTAACATTATTTCCATTAAATTTGGAAAAGCCGAGAATCACACTCTGACATGGCTGTGAATTGTATTGGCCGGTGACAGTAGGCAGGAGAGCACATTACCATTCTGATTAGGAAAAAAGACATAAACATCACTTGTTGCACATCATGTGATTGTATACCTTGAATGGCTACAGGAGACAACTGAAAATCTCGTAGATAAAATAGGAGAATTTAGTAAAGCGTCCATCTTCATCTAACCGTAATTTACAGATATCTATAGATATTATATACATAAATTAGGAAGTACAATAGAGCAGAATAAACCATTCATTTTGGCATGAAATAATACAAAATTGAAAAATTTATTTAAAAAATGTATATGAAATTCCAGGGACATATGAAAATAAATGTATATATGAGAATGTATAGGTAAAAGTACAAAAAAAAGGTATAACATTTTTCTAGGTAAAGATATCATTTCTCTAAAAGAAGATATAAATTAAACAGATTCCTAACTGAATTTTTTTTGTTTTTAAAGCAACTGTTGAGCTCCTGGAGAAACAAACACTTGCCGGGAAGATTTCAATTAAAGGAAAATTGTACATATAAATGGACTTTATTACATAATCAAAGGTATTATGAAGCTATAGTGATTAAAAGGCGATGGAATAGGGAACAAACCTACTACCAGACAAACGGATGAAACTGAAGAGACAGATTTTAAAATAAAAGGAAAGCTGACATTTGGTAAACATACAACTTAAATCAGGGGGTGGGAAAGAATATTTGATTATGCTTGGACAATCAGGTATTTATTTGGGAAAACTAATAATAAAACTGGAACTTTCCCTCCCTCTTAACACACAAGTATAACCTAGATGACATACTAATTTAAATCTAAATATATGAAACGTAAAAGTAAAAGAAGAAAACCTGAATGAGTATTTGTGAGCACGGCATGTGGGGAAAGCATTTTTGAGATTGATACAAAAACCCAGAGCCCGTTTAAGTATGTGATTCTTATTAATGTTTGCATGCAAAAAACAGTTACAAACAGGGAAACTGTTAACAGAAGAACTGATTTTACTAATACACCTAGAACTCTCATTAATGACATCGTCAAACTGGAGAGGATAAAAAGAGTCAAAGCCAAAGAAATGCAAATAATAAGCAGTATAAAGACTCCGCCACACTAATTATCAGAAAAATGCAATTAAAGTAACAGTTTTTGCCTGTTTTACTGATTTTGAAAGTCTGATAATACTCAGTATTGCTGACAATATGATAAGGGAACAAACTTCCTGGAAATATATCGGTAAAACTTTTTTATGCTGATAGCCGTTAACATTTTTTTCTTTCTTTTTTTGTGCTGAGGAAGATTTGCCCTGAGCTAACCACTGTTGCCCATCTTCCTCTTTTTGCTTGAGGAAGATTCACCCTGAGCTAACATCTATGCCAGTCTTCCTCTATTTTGTATGTGGGTCGCTGCCACAGCACGGCTGCATATCTGGGGTGTAGGTCTGCATCTGGGAACTGAACCCGGGCGGCCAAAGGAGAGCACGCCAAACTTGACCAGTAGGCCACAGGGCCGGCCCCTTAAATTTTTAAAATATTCATTCACTTATTGGAATTTATCATTCTCCTAAGTGTGCAAATAAAAATCTGTGTCAAAGATGTTCACAGTAGGATTGTTTGTAATATAGAAAACGGAAACAATTCTATAACCACTGATTGGGATTTGGTTACATAATTTATGGTACATCCAAAAATGGAATAATATGTAGTTTAAAAAATTTGATAGCTCTAAATGTTCTGACTTGGAAATATGTCCAAAGTATAAGTTGAAATACAAAAAACAAGTTGAAACACAGTATGTATAGCATCTATATTTATATGTAATGTATAGAGTAATATTTCTATAAATAATTTAGAATATAGTCTGAATTGTATTATGTATATTCATGTTCTGTTACATAGTTCTATAACATATGCATGTTTATAAGGAAAAAGTGATATTATAATAGGAAAAATAATAAAATAATGAAGATCCTGAGAATATAGTTAGTAATTTATACAGAATAATTCCTTTCTAGATATATTAGTTGTCATTCACTGTAGAAGAAATATGTTTTCTTTCACAAAGTTTTTCATATTGTTCCCTTCATTTACTTTCTCTTAGAATATCCTCTTTCAGCTTCTTCCTTTGAAAATCGCTTCCTTTGTCTCCTTCCTTAGTATCGATTGCTATGATGTTTCTTGTAGGCACACATTTGGAGAATTTTGAATGTTAACTTTTCACAACCTGTTAACGTTTTTATAAACAGCAAATACAGGAATGTTCATACTCTTTATATATTTTAGCAGAATTGTACTAAAATTTACCTTTATAGTACTCATCCTTTGGGATGAGAAAGAGATGCTATCCTTTAAAAAGGAAAATGTCTAAAATTGGACTACACAAGTAAAAAAGAATGCATGGCAAAAATGCAGTAAAAATAAATGACGTTTTGAAAAAAATTCTTAAATGTCTAATACCATTCATCTGAATGACGCACACACACACACAACATAAAAAACTAGCAAACAGAAAAATGGACAAATGACAAATAGGCAGTTCACAAAAACGGTGATGCAGGGGCCAGCCCGGTGGCATAGTGGTTAAGTTTGCGCACTCCGCTGCGGCAGTCTAGAGTTCGCAGATTTGGATCCTGGGAGCGGACCTATGTACTGCTTATCAGGCCATGCTGTGGCAGGCGTCCCACATACAAACTGGAGGAAGATGGGCACAGATGTTAGCGCAGGGCCAGTCTTCCTCAGCATAAAGAGGAGGATTGGCAGCAGAGTTAGCTCAGGGCTGATCTTCCTCACTAAAAAAATTCGTGATGCAAATGACTTTTAAACATATAATAACAACTGCTTGACTTTCTCATTACATGATATGGAAAATAAAACTAAAATGTATTTACCTTTCAGATTGGCAATGACAAAAATTTTGATAAAATAGCATGTTAGGAATATAACACATTTTTGTCTGGCATGTGAATTGATTCAAATTGTTTGGAGTACAGTTTGACAATAGATGTCAAAATAAAAATGCCGAGGGGCCGGCCCGGTGGCGCAAGCGGTTAAGTGCGCGCGCTCCGCTGCGGCGGCCTGGGGTTCGCTGGTTCGGACCCCGGGCGCGCACCAACGCACTGCTTGGCAAGCCACGCTGTGGCGGCATCCCATATAAAGTGGAGGAAGATGGGCACAGATGTTAGCCCAGGGCCGTCTTCCTCAGCAAAAAAAGAGGAGGATTGGCAGATGTTAGCACAGGGCTGATCTCCTCACAAAAAAAAAAATAAATAAATAAATAAATAAATAAAAATGCCGAAACTTTGATCCAGCTCTTCTGCTTCCAGGAATTTAATACACAAATACATAAAGAAGTATGTATAAGTTTATTTCAGCATGGTTTGTAATAGCATACATTTGGGAACAATTTAAATTTACATCATTAAGTAGCCAGTTAAATAAATTAAATATATTACAGATAACAGTGCAGCTGTTAAACAATAAGTTTATATGAACCACAATGTAATCAACATAAAGATACTTTAATGAATGAAAAAACAGGATACAGAAAGGTATATAGAAGCCTGCCATTTGTATTAAAAGGCATATATATTAGTTTGTGTATGCTTAGAAAATCTCTTAGAAGACAAAAAATCTAGTATGTGGTTGCCTTTTGAGATGGGAAATGGGGCTCTAGATAGGAGGGATTCTTACTACTCATGGTATAAATATATGTGCTGCTCGACTGGTTTATTCTAGTGTTTGTTTACAGATAACACTTATTTTAAAATATCTGTTTTTATAAATGTATGGTTTCTTATCAAAAGATTTAATTGTGGGTCACATGATATCCTGTTTTGTTACAATTTTTGGTACTAGAAGACTATCCAGAAAATAGCATGATAAGGCGTTATCTGGTAATCTTCCAGATATCATAATTGACACGGTAATGTTTCCTTAAGTGTATTATATAAGCATCATGATAATATTATTCTGATATTTTTTGTACTCCAAGTAACATAAACATTTCCCCCTTGAAAGCTAAAATAGAGAGACCTGATATTCTCCTTAAGCAATTTAAACTAATTTAATATGTTTAATAAAAGTTATCTATGGGGGCCGGCCTGCTGGTGCAGCGGTTAAGTTCACTGGTTCCGCTTCTGCAGCCCAAGGTTCGCCAGTTTGGATCCTGGACGTGGACCTACTCACCGTTCATCAAGCCATGCTGAGGCAGCATCCCACATAGAAGAGCTGCAACTCTACAACTATGATACACAACTATATGCACAGGGGCTTTGGGGAGAAAAAAAGAAAAAATAAAAAGAGGAAGATTGGGCAACAGATGTTAGCGCAGGCCAATCTTCCTCCAACAAAACAAAACAAAATTATAAAAAAAAAAAGTTATCTATGAACTGTGGCTATCAGTTTGCTCCCATTTAATCTCATTCTTTTATTCTAAAATAAAGCCAAATAGCCAACCTCCAGTTCTTAACATTTGCTAAAAAGAAGGAAGTATCGTACCATAAACCTTTTGCTTAGAAGGAC